GGCTGTTTGAGGATCCTGTGAGACGAATAACCCTTCCGCTGAAGTCTCACTTCGTCTGCTCGCCTGTGGCTCCGAATCGAATTTGCTCCACACTTGAGCTTTGTTGTCAGCAAGCCCTAGTTACTCTTGCTTCTCTTGGTATAATGGGCCAATGTAACACGAACAAGCCTTTTTTCACAGGGGAAAACAGCTCTCCTGTTCCATATGAGAAAGGTCCCAGCATTATTTCATAAATGCTCCCTTACTAGTTTCTTGCTTCCCTCTCTGGCGTTATCCTCAACTTTTCTTGAGCTAATGTATACACATTTTTCCCGTTTTCAAAAGAAGGGACCATCGCCTTTCAGTTTTTGCTTTTGCGTTGTATGGCGCACCCTTGGGTGTATTAAATAAATAAATAAATAAATAAATGTCAAAGGGGATGATTGAGTTCGAACCTATTAGTCAGTTTTACTAGTGGTTCGAAGGCATTTGTCCTGCCATGGAAGACATTTAATGAGTCAATCACGACAGCTCGATCGTCATAGCGCTTCGACCAAGAGTTTATGCTTTTTCGTAGAGCAAAGACTTCCTTCCTAGTAACGCTACCTGCAAACTCGACAATTGAGAGAAATATCGCCAGGAGTCAGCTATGAAAGACTAACCGCTCCCTTTGCTAAGTTCTCCCAACAAGGTATTCAAATCCCTTTTTAGGCAGGAGAAATCTGCCTGATTGAAAGGTTCTTCCTTGGGTAACGAAAGCTGCTGATTATTGCCGTTACCAAACCCAATAGTTCCTTTCCTTGTGACAGTTGCAATAACGGATTCCGTGCCACAAACTCTGAAAAGCCCTCTTCAGCGAAATATCACAAAAGATGAAAATTTTTTGAAGGGATGTGAAAACTGAGTAAACAAGACAAAGAAAGAGATGTTTATCACAGAAGGATTGAGGTGTCGCAGCCTATTGCTCTAACATTTTCGGTTATTGGCCTGCTGCTCAAAAGGGATCAATAGGGCCCTATATGACATATTCCTTACTGTATATATAAAGCGCTCGCATCTGTCCATTTGGCTGTTTAAACGAAAATACGATATCCCCTGAAGAAACACCTGGAGAAGTTGGATCAAGCATGGAATGGATTGAGTATAGGCTAAGTGCAACAGAACACAGGTGAGCTTAGCGGAGCTCCTTCCCCAAGGAGCGAGGCATGCGCCGGCATTGGGCTGGGCCATGAGCAAATCTTTTTTATTCGTCTCACAACAGTACAGATGGCGAGTAAAAATGGACAGAGGTGAGGGATGGTTCAATAATTAAAATAAAGGGTCCTTACCGGCGGTGGGCGGAGCGCTCTCGCAGTGGGCGGTACTTTCCGCCGAATACATAAGTCGATTCAACGAAGGTGTCAAGGATAGGAAAAAAATAAAAAGAGTGAGCAAGGCCTCATGCGTGCTGAGCATGCTTACGCTTAGCGAAGCTCCGCCTTCGATGGGCGACGTGCGTGGAGATGAAAGCTAATTTTCGAAAATGAGTGCAACTTCATTCGGAAACGGGAAAGAGTGGTTAGAGGCAATGGAACAAACGTGGTCAAATCCTCGAAGTGGGCGGGGTTTGCACTAAAGTAGGCGGGGCTGAAATCAAAATTTTATAACTCTGTCCAAATACGTCCTAGAACGCGGGAAAAGTGGTTGGAGGTATTGGAACAAATGTGGTTGAATACCCCAAGTGAGCGGAGTTGGCACAGTAAGGCGAGGCTAGAACCAAAGGAGCAATTAAAAGAAGGGTGGTCAGGTTTTTATAGAGAGAAGGGACTGCATTGAGATGGACGGAGCTATGATCAACCATTAATAATTCTACTCAAATGAAATATATCGAGCGTGATGCTCTCAAAGCAGTTCAGCGTTCCAATCACTGTATAGGACATATATACATTCAATACACCACTATGATTCTGGATCGATGTCGAATGCGGTGTACATCCCTGAGGGATTGATCAACGCCGAAAAACTTTATCCTTTATCCTTTAGGTGGGTGGACGAGTGGAACACTGTTTACGAGTAATACATTATGCATCGCCACTAAGGTATTTTCGACAGGTAAAGCTGTAATAAACTTAAACAACTACAGTAAACCTTTTACCTGATCATATTTGCTGCATATGTAGACCACTGAAGTTGATTCAAAGGTTTGTGCTCTATTGACAGTGCGTCCAGGTACCATTTCAGCACCTCATTCTGTAGATCCTGAAACTTCACATTGAAAAGAAGGAACAAGAAAACGACAAAGTTTAAATGTAGTGAACTCACGGAATTCCTCAGAACGAAGTTGAGCAAATGAAATACAAGTATAGGTGAATAATGAGGCGAAATTGGGCCCGAGCTCATAATGCACCTTCAAGTGATTACGGTTATCGTCACGGATAGCGATTGAAACGACAACAATAGCTCAATGGAAGCTTACTTGAACTTTTCCCACTGATTGCAATCCAAAGCAGCGCATGCCAAATGATGATGAACTTCTGATCGAAATATCATTTGTTTCATTTCTTCAACAGAGATCTCGGACACTGTTCGAGATGGATCCATAACGCAGCCGAGAAGGATATCTAAAGTTCTTCTGATGAGGAGCAGGGAGAACTGTATTGTTAATCATAATAACGTTAATGTTAATCGAGCAGGGCTCCCGATATTTCTTCCACCGCTGCTTACAGAGGATATCAGGTATTGTATTTCACCTATGGTGCTCTTATATCCAAGCTCTGCAGAGTGGTCAACCTAACCCGTCATCAGCTATGTTACCATGCATTTAGCGAATGACAACAACAACGACGACTAAAGTTGCACGCATGGACGAGCTCTCCAAATACTCCTTCCATGTAACTTTTGCGGTCACATTCTGCAATCCAGACGAGCTGCGCCATTGCGTACAGTTGGTCGCAGAGCGTCTCAGTGGTGGACGTCATGGTACATGCTCTACAGCCTCTACAGCGATGCCTTTCTTAAGAGCGCACTTCAGGATTGAATGGTTTTAAAGACACCTCTATGAGACGGACCTGTGACCTCGAAGAATACCACAAGGGATGCTGCAATGTCGAAAAACAGCTCAGACACGACCTAAGAAAAACACCAAAACCGGCTCGTACACATGACGAGTTCCAACGGCGTTGTAGCGACTGTAGAGCTTGCACCATTCGCACCGGGACGCACACCTTGCAACTTGCTGTAGCCAGCTGCGACGTGTGCGTCCCCGTGCGAGTGGCACAACACGCCTGGATTACAGAATGTGACGGCGATGGTTACATGGTAGAAGCATTTGGGCTGCTCGTCCATGCATGCAACTTCTTTCGTCACATTCTCGTCAAACCATCAACTTAATTACTTTTTTGATGCCTTGAATTTCTCCAAATAAACCGATTATCACATTTTCTTCGCCACTTGCACTATTATGGATTATCGCTTCCGCTGTTCGTCGAAAACTGAATACCCCAAAATCATGAACTGTGCCTAATAACAGTCTACGATTAGATCTGCGCACTCAATAGAACTGAGAATTTTGATTTTCTTCACATTTAACCGGAGCCCATTCTCGCAGAACGATCAGCCACCATTCCTTCTTGTCCGGTGTTCTTATTACACGCTGTAGAGAGAAGTCGTTAGTGTAGAGGATCGCCTTCACCAGCACAACCATACGTGTTTTATATCTATCTGATATTATCTTAACCGAAGGGATCGGGTATTCTGGATTTATTATTCTCCTCCTTACCATAGCAAGTGTACTGCCCTTTGCGAAGCAGAGAGCTCCGCTAAGGGTAGAAGTCTAGCCTACAGAGCCTAAGTAAAAAAAGAACTGATAGCGAAACTCACTAACTGCAACAGCCATAGATTGAGGCAGTGAAGTTGACTTGAACCTTTTGCTCAGTTCGTGAGAAAGGAGATCGACATCATGCATGTATGAGTTCTCGCTCGGCTGAGAATGAAGCGCACATCGATGACGTAATTGAGCAGCAGCAAGAAGCCGTGCGGCTTCAAGCACTGCTGGACCATTCAGTGTTGCCAAATGAAGACGAATGAGGGCACATCCATGAGAAAACTTGTGGCAAAGTCGAAGTGCTGATAGGTAGCGACTCGGATTTACCACATTTGTGAAATCAACCTCTTCTGTCGGTATGGAAAAATTGATGAACTTCAGGGTTGGATGTGAGGAGACATGTTCCGGCTTAAATGTGCAATAATGAATTTACAAAAATCGAAATGACGGTACATAACTTTAGCTTACCTCATCCAAGGAGAGAATAGATGATAGCTCTGTGGAACTCATCATAGGTGATGCTTTGGATGGCACCTCCTTGGTCACACGCAGTGGAAGCTTCTTAGATGGTACTGAGGTAGAATCCTTGTTACTAGCAGTCAGCACAGATTCAGCAGCGTTGAGAAGTTTTTTACCCTTAGTCAACGACTTAACTGCATCAGGTGGGGAACTAGCTTGAGCGATATGAGGGAGAGCTTCAGACGTCATTCGAGATCCAGCAACATTCTTACGTTTACGAGGTTTGCTAGTCGCACTACATAATATCCTGATAGGAAACACTCGAAAACAGCCCTGAAATGGTCAAATGTATTATAGAAGAAACGATGACCCACAATCATGGGTCGTTACGGTTGCCCTGAATATTACTCTTCCATACCTTTGCGCTAAACTTTGTCGTCACCGAGAGCATTCTTATCAGCTATATTGATGCCTTCTTCAATGAGCTTGTGTTTGTAGCGCTGGAAGTTGTGTTTTCTTATGAAATGGGACACCCACGAAGCCGGACAGGCTCTTTCAAATTCTCGCAGCAAGTCTCGACAAGATCGCGATGCCTGAAATTGCACAGTGGAAAATAGTGATCAGGCAAACTGACAACAGTACCTTCCACTAAAGTCTTTATCATTTTGCCCAACTACCCTACTTATGCTTTGAGAATATTAAGGGAGTAGGGGAGAACACAAGGAACATCCGGCTCCGCGCTCACCTTCTCGACACTGCTGTCCTTCCTGCTTTGACGTATGCCTCGGAGACTTGGACTCTACGAAAGCAGGATGTGCATGCTGTCAGCGTTACTCAACGCGCTGTGGAAAGGACGATGCTCGGAATTTCCCTAAACACGCGAGTGCAGAATGGAATCCGGAGGTCCGAGCTCCGTCATTGAAGGAAGATCAGGGATGCCGTAGGATACGCCAAGGAATTGAAGATCAGGTGGGCCGGACACGGTATGCGATATAGCGATGACAGTTGGGTCGGGGCGGTTACTGACTGAATCCCACGAGACGTCAAGCGAACACCAAGACGGCGGCCAGCGCCATGGTCAGACTTCTTCAACAAAGCACTGAACGAAAGGAATACTGGGCCCCGTGTCCCTGAGTAGGATGATTCGCTGGACCACTTGACGCGTGGCAGGGACGAATGGAGACGTTACTGGCGCCCGCTCGATGAAAATTGGTGATCAACTAGACGACAGGCTACAGATGAGATGTGATCCTACTAATGCATTCCGCTAGTGTGTTTGATGCTGTGTTTGAGTGTATGTGTGGCTGTCCCACTGAGGCTGAGCATTCAAATTTGGAAGTGATACAGGTGACAGGATGGAAACACTGATGACAGGTGGTAGGAAGTGACAACAGTTGATAGGAGCGCATAACGAGCCTTAAAAGGGAAAAACAACAGAAAAAGTAAATCTGAGTTAACGATTGAGCGCCTCGGCTTTGGTAGGCAATATAGGATGTGAAGAGACCGTAGTTCTGCTTCCACCGCGTTTTAATTACTCAGATTACGCCCGATCCTTCTTGTAGGTGTTGATTAGCGTCAGTGATTGGTAACAGCTGATAGAGATTGATAATGAGCTATAGAATGCGCAAGCCACTGGATCCATAATGCTCATGGTGTTGACAATGGAGCTTTGGCAACTTGGTAGGTTGTGTAGAATGTAAGGGAATCGTAGATGACTGGTAACAAGAGCTGATAACAAACGAAAAAGCCTATAAAGAGCCACAGAAGGCGAGGGCACGAGGACGGGAGCTGATAACGATTGATAGCAGCTGATAATGATCTGTGAAACCAGCTTCTTCTTGATCCTGCAGNATGCGCAAGCCACTGGATCCATAATGCTCATGGTGTTGACAATGGAGCTTTGGCAACTTGGTAGGTTGTGTAGAATGAAAGGGAATCGTAGATGACTGGAGCAAGAGCTGACAACAAACGAAAAAGCCTATAAAGAGCCACAGAAGGCGAGGGCACGAGGACGGGAGCTGATAACGATTGATAGCAGCTGATAATGATCTGTGAAACCAGCTTCTTCTTGATCCTGCAGATCCGATGTACGTAAAGAGGAATCGCTTCAATACTTATACCAATAGCTCTGCTACCACCAAGCTTTCATCACTCGAATTACGTCCAATTCTTTTGGTAGAGAGCTAAGCATTTGAGCACCTGCACTTAAGTTGAACAAGACGTGGGAACCATACAAGTTTTCTACTTCTCCTATAGTTCTAATGTTTGATATTCTTCAATCAACGTAGCGTTCAACCATTCTGAATTACCTTTGTGTTACAGAGGAGCAGCCACTGAACTACTTGAAGTATGTAATGTAAGTGGGAACTGACTGAATAAAAAAGCTTCATTCTGCCCACGACCAGATCATTACCAATGGCCCCGACCTCGGACCCACGGTCAAATTAAAGGCACAGTTCACGATGTCTTGGGTAATCCAGACTATGATGATCCAGACGTCCGAATTCCTTTTTGGCACGTGCGTAAACCGCGAAATCTCGACCACTGATCCTTCTATGACGCGTTGAATGACGATGAATGCATAGCTCAATTTGCCTGTATAGTCTGACCTCTGAGGTGTAGGTCAAGGCTGGTTTAGACAGCTCACGATAAGTTTGGGTAATCCAGATTATGACGAAAAAACGGAAGACAAGATCGAAAAAGTGCGATGAAGGCAAAAAAACTGCGTGAATCGGTGTTTCCAAAGTAAAAAGGCTCTGAAAAACC